AATTCATTTATTTTTTTAGTTTGATTTTAATTTTAGTTTTATTTTTTTTTTTAATATATAGGTTTTGGGTGCAAATCGAGATAGTTATTAGGATTCCAAAAAACTTCTTGAGCAAGTTAGAAAGGCAGTTAGCATTTTTGAACAGACACAACCGGAGTGTGTTGGTATATTTCTCTTTAATAATGCCACGTCTCATGAAGCTTTTTCTGAAGACACTCTTGTGGCTTCAAAAATGAACCTTGGACCAAATGGATTAGTTTCAAAAATGTGTGATACAACGTAAAATGGTGATCGCAATCAATAATTATTGAGAACGATCATTTGATTTATAATAAAAAAAAAAACATATGTTAATCTGCGTGGGCAACCTAAAGGTATCCAATAGGTTCTTAGTGAAAGAGGGTTATGAAAAGATGAAATGGTGCTCGAATGTGCTTCATGTAAAAAAAAAGATCCAATTCCAGATGTTATTGATTGCTGTGCACATCAGTTAATTTCAAATTAGCCAGATTTTTTTGAACAATGTGGCCAAATTCAGCAAGAAATCGAATCTCATGGGCATAAGGTTTTATTCTATCTTAAGTTTCACCCTGAATTTAACTACATAAAAATGTACTAGGGGATGGCTAAGAAGTACACTTGGTCTCATTATGAATATTCAATTCCAAAAACTAAAGAATTAATTTAACAGGCTTTTACTTCCATTTCTGTAGAAAAAATCTGTTCTTTTGCTAGGCTATTTTATAGATGGATGGATGCTTATCAGCATGGATTGATGGGAAAAATGGCATAATATGTTGTCAGGAATAATAGAAAGCATAGATCAATTAACGAGGAGGTTATGAATCAAATTAACGAGTTTTTAAAGTAAAAGGAGTCAGCTTTATTTATTGTCATCTATATGGATTGTAAGGCTTTTTATTTTTTATTTTTTATTATTTTTTTTATTCTTTTTTATCTTTGTTTTTTTTTTTGTTATTCTTTTTTTTTTTTTTTTTGTTTTTTTTATTTAAAAATTATAACTTATGAATACTAGATGTTTTAGTTCCTGGCCATTATACCACATATAAGTTGACTGGTATTGTTTTAAATAAAATAAATTAATTCTAATAGTAGAGAGTTTGGAAGTCTTTAAAATCTAACCTGATTAAAAATTTTAATCTCTTATATTAAGCATTAAAAACGATAGATTTTCGCTAAATAATCAGAACTTATCTTAGATAGAAATGAGTACGGTTTTATCTCAAACTGCAATGTCATGCAGGGTTGCGCAAAATAATATATATCATGTGATATAAAAACTAATTTATCGATTTATTACATAGTTTATGTGAAGTGCACAAATGTATACAAGGCTTTTTTCATATGAGATAATCTCTAATTCCGAATGTGATATACCTACGTGCAAAGTGCTAATATCTTTGCACAAAATAAATTTTTAATATCAGTGATTAGTAAATGCATTTTGATAAAAATACTGTATAAATAAATATGTTTTATTATATTTTCCCTAGATACAGAAGTATGATAGTATCATACTTAGGTACTCAGTATAAATTAAAATTTTGCCTCTAAAACCATTGCAGAATACAGTGTAGAGATTGATCCAGATAAACAAATCTATTATATAATCATAATAAATTACTAGAGAAATTTAATATTACCTAGGTAGAAAATTCAGAAAGGTCATTATCAAGCACTTGAATTCACAAAATGTTTGAATTAAAAGACTATTTCTTCACGGGTACAACCTCTAGTATAGTGCACAGGAAGTCAAATTTCAAGATCAGTTGTAACGTAAACAATCGAAGCAAAAAAATTTTAATTAAGAAACCACCTTTTGCAGTTAGAGCTTACGAATTCTTTATTCAAATAATATTTGAATAATTTAAATAAATAAATAGCTATTTGAATATTAGTCGAATAACTAATATTCGATAAATATTCGAATAAATATAATTATTCGAATAAATATTATTATTCAAATAAATATTATTATTCAAATAAATTTAATTATTTGAATAATAATTATTATTCGAATAATAATATATATTTGAATAAATAATATATTTAAATATGATTATAAGAAAAATGCATTTATAAGATTCTATTGAATTTTACATTAAATAAAGATCATATTTATATTAATGCTACCTTTTTTTAGTAATTATTTTGAATGAAGCTTGTATTATACATTTTAAAATTTATCAGTTATACTCTATTACCAATATTAATCGATTTGGATAAAAAAAATTATAACTTGCTTTATAAAGCCAATATAATATTAAACTAATTTTATTGAATAATAATGTAGTAACTGTCTAATCTTGAGCTAGAGATAGTTTAGCAGAAATATTATACTAAACAAATAGGCTAAAACAAGTTTTAAAAATTAAAAAAAAGGCTTGTCTTCAATTTTAAGACTGAACTAGTATCAAAAAAGTATAAATGCAGATGTATGCCAATGTTATAATTGATATTAACATCAATTAGATATAACTTAAAGACATAATAATATGGGTCTTTGTCTTGAAAATAACCTTATGGTATCATGTACCGTAAGGTCATTTTCAAGACAAAGACCCAATATGTTAAAAAATCATAACTAACATTTGTCGTAACATCTGATGTATACTATAATATTTGTATTGTAATATTTGATCTAATGTTGTTAATTTGCTACGTATTCGAATAAATAAACTTTGCTAAGAAAATGTAATATAAATTTTATAAACTTGCAAAATAACAGATCATTACAATATTAATACCTAACGCTTATTATAAATATTAGAAGATAGGTAGTACAACAAATATAAAAACTTTGTAGAGTTTCATATATAAACAAAAGAGAAATGCTTTTAGTTAAAGGCACTTAGTAGAGACTACAAAAAGTTAGCTTACCCAAATAACTGGCCAAAAAAACTGATCCTTAGCCAGTCTTCTCAAAACTTATCCAATCCTAATTACAACCTATACTAAAATTATACAAGAAATCTTTTTGTAAGAACTCTACAAATGGGTTTTATAGTTAAAATTTTAAGATATTGACATATTCATATGCATACACTATGTATATAAATAGTAGGTACTATATATAAAATATGTCAATTTTAAAGCAACATTACTACACAATTTTGTATACTAATTTAAATATATTGATTTTATAAAATGATTTTTATTATTATTATTTAATACTACTTATAGTAGTTTTTATAAAAAATAAAGTTTTAAAATAAGATCCTAAATACTATAGGCAATACTAAATAATATATAATATAGTATATTCAAATTTTTTAACTATATATATCAATTCTAATAGCTATTTATCTTATTTATCTTTGGGTTTAAAAACATCAAATAACTTCATATTTCTTTTTAAAAATAGCATAGATGCTAATAACTCAGGTTTTAAACAAGTACGATAAGCAGATAAATAAAGACTAGCATCAGAGAATAATCTCTCGCTTGGTACAGAAGTGGCAGGAATTGCTAAATACTTTATTGCTAATCTAGACAAAACTGGAAAAACATTAATACAATTCTTTTACCATTCTAATATATTATATTTTGAAGCTTCTTTTGGCAAAGTTAAGTATTGAACAACTTCATCAGACATATTATCATTATCATCATCTGAATCTTCATATATTTTAAGCAAAGAATAATTAACTTGATCAATATTAGAAAATTCATTTGTAGCTAATGATTTAGATAGGTCAACAAATAAGCTATTATTTAATTCTTCTAGAATAATAGTTTGTTCAATTCAATATAATTCATTTCATTTATCAATTGCTACATTATGTTGTTGTTCTGTAACAAATTTAAGTTTTTTGTGTCAAGGATCTAACAATGCTGAAAGTAAAGTAATTTCTTTTGGAAAATCCCAATATTGACATATACTTAAATAAATAGCAGCTTTTATCTTTTTTAAAACACCTTTAGTAGTATCAGGTAACTTAATAGCATAATGGTTTTTGAATTGTAATTGTTGATTACTGACCATATCTTCATCATCACTACTTCTATTTAATTGATCTTGGTTTGTAATTTTATTTAATTTATCCAATAAATTTGTATTATATTCTTCATCTTCATCTTCGGGCAGAGTTACAGTTTTTTTAAAATAGTACATTGTACAGATAACCATATTTAGTGTAGCATATGTAACACCTGATAACATTTTGGTCACTTCATAAAAAGGTGCCAATAAAGTTAATATGTCAGAAAGTAAACTATAATAATAATATAGTTTAGTTTATTTATATAATTATTTTGATATTTTAATTAATCATATACTATTAAACCTTCAAACTAATTCTATTACTATACTTTTTAAATTATTGTAATCAGTAATTTTTATATATTATATGAGTGCTGCCAAGAGAAAACCTGTCATCGGATATTTAATTTTATTTTGTATACAGTTAGCCATCTATAGAAAATCTATTATAATATATTTCTACAGATGGCTATCTATATATAAAATACAATTTAATGTCTGATGATAGGTTTTCTCTTAGCAGCACTTATATAAGTGCTGCCAAAAAAAAAGTGATATAGTAGTTTTTTAGTAATTCAGCTCTTCTAATCTGACATATATTAGAATTTAACAAATCTTTAAAAATTATAATTAATATGAGTGCTGCCAAGAAAAAACCCACATTCAGGCTTTCAATTATATTTTATATACAGTCAATCTCCTGAGTGCTGTCTAGGAAAAATCTACTATTGGGCATTCAATTATATTTTGTAATAAGTTGTCACAAAATATAATTAAATCCCAATGATAGATTGCTCTAGGAGACCAACTGTACACAAAATATAATTAAAAGCCTGAATGTAGGTTTTTTCTTGGTAGCACTTATATAATCTTTGAGGTTTTTGAAAGTCCAATATATGCCAGATCAGAAGGGCTGAATTACTAAAAAAATTACTATATTCTTTTTTTTTGGCAACCTTATATACTATAAAAAATCTAAAAATAAAGAAATTTTGCTAATTTCTATATAATAAATGATTATAAGTAAACTCAATATATATTAGTTTAGAGAGGTTTAATTTTTTTTAATATTATAAATTAAAATTTACCTTCATTCTGAATTCGTTAAATTAATTTGTTCCAAATAGTCAGCATCATCTCTATTACTTTTTTCTAAAGAAATTTTTAAAACTGTACTAAGATAGATTATAGCATTTTTTAATTTAAGCAAATAACGCCATGCAAAATAAGTAGAGTTCTATTTTGTCTTAATATCTATAAGAACTTTATATATTTTTGGGTAATTTAATTTACATTGTGTGTTTTTAAGGTTTTCAGTTTGTTTAGGACTACCATGAAAAACAAAATAAGATTGGTTATATGCTTTTTAAATGGTTTAGCTATATCAAGACCTTTTAAAACACTAAGATGTAAAGTGTGTGCAGAACATGGCACATAGGAAATACCTATTAATTGAATTGCTTTCACAACATTTGCATCATTATCTGTAGTGGCAGCAACTAATTTTTGTTTAAGTTAAAACCGATCTATAATTTGGACTATAGTGTCTTGGATATTTTCACCTGTATGTCTTCTTTTGATTTTTTCATAAGCCAATAGCCCTTCTTTTAATGTCCAATCCTTGGGATCTAACCATCCAACTGTAATACCAATATATGGCTCATCTGTATGTGATGACCATAAATCTATAGTAATACAGACAGAACGAATATCATGCAATATTTTAGTAAGTTGATTGGTTGATTGAATATATGCATCATTTACT